AAAAAAAAACAAATTGTTGTCTTTTTTTTTGCTTTCAGAGGTGCATTTATTGATGAAAAACGTCGACTTGAAGCACGTATAGTACAACTTGAAGAAGAATTAGAAGAAGAACAAACAAATACAGAAATAATTGGTGATAAACATAAAAAATTAGCAATAACTGTTGAACAACTTATGCTTGATCTTGCTGCTGAAAAAGCCAATAATCAAAAAGCTGAAGTAAGTTTATCAGAGAAGGAAAAAAAACAAACAAAATTTTATTTTGTTTTTTTTTTCTAGGCTGTACGTAGTAATCTTGAACGACAAAATCGAGAATTACGTGAAAAACTTGAAGAAAATGAAGAATTTGGTAAAGGAAAATCAAGAGCTATGCTTGGAGCACTTGAAGCTAAAGTTCATGCACTTGAAGAACAACTCGATGGCGAAGTTCGGTATGTGTAAACTATAAAAAAAAAAATTTTTAAATATTCGTTTATGCATATTTATAGAGAAAAACAAAAGATTAGTCGAAGTGTTCGTACACTTGAAAAACGTCTTCGTGATGCAACTGCTGTTGCTGATGAATCTCGAAAACAATCAGATGCTTATAAAGAACAAGTAATGATGATTGCTTTTAATATTTAAACATTTGTTTTTTCGTTTTTATAAAGGCTGAAAAAGCAAGTGTACGTGTACGTAATATGAAACGAAGAGAAGAAGAATTAGAAGAAGAAGTAACACAAATGAAACAACGCTTACGTAAAGCATTACGAGAAAAAGATGAATTTGAAGAAAATCCAGCTTATCAACGAACACGGTAAGAAAACAAAATTTCATTTCGATCTTTAGTTCTTTTTTTTTTCTTCTCTTTGTAATAAGGATCAGTTTTTGAAATTTTGTTAAACTTATTTTTTCTTTTTTTCTCTTTCTTAACTTATTTAAAATCAGAAGAGATACATCTATGACTGATCTTGCATCCAATCGAGTCATCAAATTAAATGATGATAAAAATGATGAGGTATTCAATATATAGTTTTTGTTTTTTTTATTCGATCGCTTTCTGCGCAATGCTTATCTTTTTTTCTTTCTCTTGCACATAAATATTTAAATCTATAATTATAGTTAAACTCTTAGTTCCGTTCCCAACAGATAAGACAATGATACTGCACATGCATGATACTGAAAAGACTCTGAAGACTATCGCATGTCAATATTATTTTAATTGAATCCTTTTTTTGTTACCAATTAGTTCTCGACATAATTCTCATGACTTTCAATGACCAATAAGGTTCGATTAATGTTGTATTGTATGAATGTATACAAGACTTAGCTTTTTCTATATGCTTTTCTAATTCATATTTATTATTTCTTTGTTTTTTTTTATAAAATATTTATTTTTTTGTTTTTTTAGTCCTTCAACAGCGCATAGTTCTTCAACATCTTACGTTCGAACACTTGTAACATCAACAAAATATTATTCCGAATTATCTGATGATGATTTACAATCTGAAGCAACAAACGCAAGTGTATCAGAGACACTTAATGGTGGTAATTCAACAATGCGAAACAGTGCTATTGGCGATTTAAACAATGGCAATCATTGAGAGAGGGAAAAAATAATAATAATAGAAAACAAGAAAAAAAAAGCCAATTACACTGTTATTGTTTATCCTCATTTTTCGTTTGTCTCATACACAGTGAGTGTTATTCTCTATCGCATTTTGCTTGTGTGTTTGTGTGTTGTGTGTGTGTGTCTGCGCGTGTAATTTCATTTTTTTTGTTCTCGCTCTTCTTATATATGTCTGCTTATTTTTCCAAAATGTGAACATAGCCTTGCTCAGGGTTAGAGCTCCTCCTTCTCGTTGTCATTTTTCTTTATTCTTCATTTTATCGTTGCTACCTCTGTTAGACATTCTGTCTTTAAAAAGAAAAAAAAAAGGAAAAAAAAAACATCGAAATGATTACATTCCATTATTTACTAAAACATATTGAGCCGGCCACCAAAATCTAAACAATTTCTATATACATATATATATATATATATATTACGCTGCCTTGATGTTATCAGTATTCGGCGTTTGTCTCTTTGTTCTATGCGTTACTTTTCTTTTCTTTCTTTCTTTTTTTTTTTTTTTATACTTTCGTTCTCTTTAAACATAAGATATAGTCTCTCTATATTCCTTAAAATATATATAAACAAAAAAAACAAAATGTTCATTTAAATTTTTATTGGTTACAACAACAATAGCATATGAATATAAAAGAAAATAAAAATAATAAACAGAATGTATCAATATAAACAAAAGATGATTGACATAGAAATAAAATACATGTGTAAATAATAATACGACCTACATAACGAAGAGCTAATGATTGAGCAAATGTCGATGATGAAGAAAATTTCATTGAATTACATATAGAATCTAGAAAAAAAAAGATTAATTAATTAATTCTTTTTTTTCTTTTTTTTTTATAACCTATGTCAAGAAAGTCTTGGCACAAGATTTTCCAGTTATTTTATCCGTCTTGATTAGATATTTCTTATCAGGTTTTATACAAGATTGTAGCTTATTTTCTGTATATTCAGTCTATATAGAAATGTTGTGTATCAAGTAACGGGTGTCCCAGGAAAAATGGACCTCTCAGTATTTTTAAGATTTTTCCTCTATTACTCCTGTAATTAAAGTCTTTCTTATTATCAAAAGATAGCGCTTGAAATTCTCTACAAAAGCATATATGACTAGGCTTAAAAACTGTCTTAGATATATTTGAAAAAAGATGAAAACTAAAGACATACAAGCAGCTGTGAAATGTAAATAATGAGTGTCCCATAATAAATGGTTGTACTTTGTATTTCATATTTTAATCTCTAAATACGTTTTATTAAAAAAGCAAAATATACGATAAGATGCCGCATGAAAAGCTCTGCAATCTATAAACTAAAGTTTATTTTAATTGTATACTTTTTTTTTACACGAATGAGAAATCCTTTTTCTTATTTTATTTTTTTATCACCTAATATGTATTCTTTAAAAAAAATCAAAATATACCACAAGATGCAGCGTGAAAAGCTCTAGAATCTACAAGGAACAGTTTATTCTATTTTTGTCATTTTTAAGTTCAAAATAACTTCAAATTCTGTGCGATCAGTTTTCGCAATGGCGAAAATCCGGCGCACAGAGTTTTGCTTTTTTTTTGAAAACAAAAAGTATACAATTAAAATAAACTTTAGTTTGTAGATTGTAGAGCTTTTCATAGTGCATCTTATGGTATATTTTGCTTTTTTAATAAAACACATTTAGAGATTACAATATGAACTACAAAGTGTGACCGTTTATTATTGGTGACATATTTACATTTTACGGCTGCTTGTATGTCTTTAGTTTTCATCTTTTTTCAAATATATCTAAGACAGTTTTTAAACTTAGTCATATATGCTTTTGTAGAGAATTTCAAGTGCTATCTTTTGATAATAAAAAAAGACTTTAATTACAGGGATAATGGAGGAAAACTCTTAAAAATACTGAGAGGTCCATTTTTCCTGGGACACCCGTTATATCGATGATACTACCTTTTCACCGTCGGATGAGTCTTCATTGGCGATGTGTTACAATAATTGTATTATACTTTTCCGTTTGTAATATTCATTTTGGCATTCACCAGTACAAACAAATGAGTCAGCATCTACTTTCTCTATTTTCTGAGTAGCCACAAGTAATTGTATCGATATATTTACTTTTCATCTTTCATGTTTTCCATCAATTTTACATCCACAACGAACACATTGTATATGCGCCATCGTGTCGATTTCAAGAATACGAAGTATTATTAGACCAGAGCAAAGTATAAAAGCGAGTATTTTTTTCGTAATCCATAAATATACTACATGATTTGCGATAAAAAATACACATTACTCTCATACTTTCTCATATACTTAAAAACAATATGTACCGCATTATAATGTACATCACAAGTTTTATATATATGCATTACTTTGCCCAAAAGATAACATAAATTAAATTCTATTCATATTCTATTCTTGTGATAATGTGCATTTTAAAATAAGATATTACTGAGCTTGATATAGGATTACAAGGCTGAATGAATGATTGATGTATCACTGTCGAATGATTAAAATTCGTACTATGATGACAATGTGTACTATTTTTAGATGTATTCTCCCAACGTTTTCTTAGTTATAATAAGTACATTTTGCAGCTAATGCAAAGGGCTCTTTATGATAAAAAAATGGTGATGTTTGCTCTTGCTGTTGAAGAGATAGAAGATCTACAATGAACGTGCCTGACAGCCTATAGATGGGGTTTCGAGTTTTTGGAGGGTCGTATTTTGACTATAAACAGGGACGGCGCGAAGAGGTCCAAGCAGGAGGGGGGTACCCTCGAAAATCGGAGCCTTCAATTCCAAAAGGTCAAAATTGAAGAGCAAAAAAAAGACGTTCTCACTCTGCTTTAATTCGAAGGAAGACTCTAAACTTTTTTGATTGTCATCGCTTTCTTTTCGAAGTAGACTTTCCAACATTCCTCGTCCTCGGACTACTCTGACCGCACTTCATGCAATATTATGCTGAGGGTTTCACCAAAAAATCTGATTTTTTTTTAAATTTTACTTTTCATTCAATTTTGATACTACAACTTTGTACATACAATAAAAACAAAAAAATATGAATAAAAAAGTTTACAAGAAACAATTTAAATACGACGTCCACACTTGTTCTTCAACCATCTTTCAATTAGTTCTTCATCAGTCAATTCATCAAGTAGATCAGTTTCAATAGGACATAATAATAATGATTGCAAACGATCATCATCAATTCTTGATCGTAATCTGTTTTTTATAATTTTTAATTTGCTAAATCCTCGCGCGTTACTTGCAACGGTAACTGGTAATGTTAAAAGAAAACTATAAGCTTGATATAAACGTGGAATAACTTCTTTTCGTTCAACAATAAATTGTGCTGCCTTTGAAATAGTATCACACTGTTCATTAATATCAAGTGCAAACAGTTTTATTTCTTTGAATAATAATTGTGGATCATTAACACCCACCATTTCACTGATAACAATTGCATCATCTTGTGATAAATTCAAAATATATTTTGGTGATAATTTTCCGATGGATTTCAAGTTGTCATTCATCGACTTTACCATATCATGGTACTGAACAATTAAATAATCGAGTATGTTTCTAAAATTTTGAACGTAATAATCATGTCTAAAAAGCAAATAAAAAGAGAAGCATATAACATCTGTATGACGAAATTCCAAACATTAGAGTACTCTCTCCTTGGACTTGCAAGCCAATAGGATAGTGATTCCTAGTAGTAAAACTATACCTTGAAAAATCATGTGTTGTTTGTGGATTTTCATCAATTCATCTAGGTGGACGCCGTTTTCGATGTTTGATATTAAACTCTTGATCCAGATTTATATCGAATTTTGTTGCCATACTTCCACTAATATCCAGAATACGATTTAAATTATCATCATCATTTCGTTCTGACTGTAACAGTATTATTGTTTTTTGTAAAGTTTTAGTAGCTGTTACTAAGTCCAATTTCTCTTCTTGAAAATCACAAGTGAGAGCATTGGTTGTTGACATTAGGTTTTTCACGAATACTGAGTATGTAATAAAATTAAATGATTTCATATTTTTTGTAATTGTTCGTGATTCTGTTCGTGTATCACTATCAAAATGTTCATCATCATTTGTAATATGATCTAATGCTTGTAGAATCTCACCATAGGATTCATAAACTGCCTTAAACGATTCATATTTTGAATTCCATCGGGTTGCACCAGTTGTTTTTGGTATTAAGGCGAATGAATTAGATGCATACTTTTCCTTAAGCACGTTATATCTGAAAGTGTAAAAAAATGGCTCTATAGTTCAACATAAGTTAAAACTGTAATCAGTCTTACCTTTTTGTGCTACAAGTAAAATAATTATAAATCATTTGTAATACATCAACGACACATTTAACATCTAAACTTGCTTCGCAAGCAATTTTTAATGATGTATTTGAACGATGAGCTGTACATGGTACATATATAATTTCACGTCCTAATTTTTTGGTTATTTGAGCTTGTACACCTTGAAAACATCCGCTCATGTTTTTCGCACAATCGTATGATTGTGAGATTAAACGATGTGGATCTAACCCACTTTCATTTATAACACCCAAAATATGATTAGAAAGTGCATCACCTTCGAGTACGAAAAGAAAAAAGTTAATTGTAATCGACAAAAACCATATAGGGCTAGATAGCAAAACTGATTGAAATGAAATTTATATCGGCTGCCGAATAGCATTGAAATCAATTTGATTCAAGAACAGTTCCCTGAAAGGCGCTTGTATCGATTTGTTTGATCGCAGTACTTTTTCACGTGTTGACGTTGCAATGTGAGGTCTGGCATTGTCATGTAAAAAACAAACCTTATCCTGCTTTCTCTGATTTTTTGCTGCAACATAGCCCAATTGCTACCAGTAGATATCAGCAGTACTAGTGCTACCAGTTGGAAGAAGCTCCAAATGAATTACGTCTCTTATGTCTCGCCAAGCACTCAACGTAACCATCCTTCCGTGAAGTTTCTTTTTTCGGCATTGTTATACCGCTTTGTCCAATTCACAACCATTGTCGCTTGTGCGTGTGGATAACACACATCATCCACTTTTGATCACCGATAATAAGATCGTGGAGTCATTCGTAGCTACAGTGAGAAGTTAAGAGTTTCCTACATGTATCATCATGTGTTGAAGCTGAAGTGGTGACAAGCGGTGAAGTATTTAAACTCCGTGTTTCCACGTCTTGCCTAATTCTCTTAGATGTTTTTCCACCACAGTATGAGAGCCTCCAAGCCGCTCTACTAGACAGCATGTAGCTGATCTCGGTTCTTCTTCAATGAGCTGCTTTAATACGTGCATGTCCATCTCGGAACGAGGTAAATCGTCAACCTCGCAGTTCCTGTTCTTGAATCAATTGCACCAATATTGCGCTGTACAAATGGTACATTGTTGCCCATCATGCTGCATATGTTGCTTATTGCATCCATCACTTTGCGGTTCAAACAGAATTCATGAAGTAAAAGCAATCGGAGTTCCCTATGAAAAATATCCGTTTCTAATCAGAAAACTAGCTCCTTTACTCATAGTTCTGTTGTTATTCGCAAGATATTCACGCTCCCTTTATACATTCTAAGTATGAAAACTGCCTGACGTTTCACGAGTTTTTTTAGAGATGTTAGAAAAAAACGCAAAAACTTTGTTGACAACCTAATAATTTGACGTCTCACTTAAACTTGGTTTTAATCGATTTTTTGCAAAAGAGCGACTTACCGGTTTTTGCAGTTGGTTCTTTTATAGAAATCAATCGTTCTTTTGGAATTAAATTTTCATCCACATATCTAATAAACACACTAAACATCTCTTGTCGATTTGAATCAGGTGTTGAATCGGCCATTAACGAGTAATGGCGAGCTTTTTTAGCTTCACTTAAACTCTTACCAAGAACTGCTTCACCAATCAAATTAATGAATTCATTTTGTGAATCTTTTGACATATATGTTACCTAAAAAGTGACAATGAAAAAACATAAGAACACATAATTGTATCGATAATAATACATTCTGTATAGGACTACTTGTTTCGCCTCGCTCTTCTTCTCTCTCACATTAAGGTTTCGTATGATAGTGAAAAAACGCGAGAAATGAATACCTGTTGTTCAAATAAGAAAATAATAAATCTGTCTAGCCTAATAAACAGTTAACAGTCAGATTCCGTCGCTGAAATGTTCCATCAAAGAAGCATCAGTTACATACTTGATATGGTCTATCAGCTTTATCAGCTAACCAATGTTGAATAAGTGGATTATATTTGGACATAAGATGAACAAGTTGGATATAGTTACCATCTTCTTCTTTATTACGTCGAAATGCGAGATCTTGTCTTGATAAATAACGTGCACAATTAATCAATATTTTGACAACATTTTGATTGGATTTAGCAACTTGAATTTTAGATTGCTCGTGCTGTCGTATATTTGAATCAAGCATATATTCAATATTATGTCTTCGATTTTTAAAATTCAAGTATCGTTTTGATGATGATAAATGTGAAGCGCTTTTAAAAAGTGTTTCCAGTTTTCCAGCTTTGTTTTTGCCTTGACTTCCAAAAAGTTAGCAAATTTAACACAAACAGTCTTCTTCAAAACAGAGAAAAAAACGGATTTTTGTTACCTTTCATTTTATTCCATTGAGTAATACCTACAGTTGACTATGCATCTTCTTCTCGGCCATTACCCGGTCCATCACCGAATAATCGACAGGAAAAACAATAAGCAGCGTTTGTTATTGGACTGTATTCGATAAGTGGATATTCTTGATACCATTTTTTGACAAAATGACATGTATCTTTTTTCTTTTTTAATAATTCATTATCTGGAAATTTTGTGAGCAACGGCTGGTAAGGTCCTTCATTGACTAAATATCGAAGTTCTTTTTCATTGAAATCTTTTTTAAACGATGGATCACGACTTGTTGTTATTTCAGATGATTGTATTTCATGAATAGTTGTTTCTAAAGTTGGCATTTTTTGTGATGCATAATTACATTCATTTATTAAGTCTGTTACTGATCCTTGTATTAATTTTAAATAAGAGACAATTTGAACAATGAAATATTTATCACTAAGATCTGGATCAACAGATAATTTAACTAAACTCGAGCATTGATTTGTTTGATGTATAAGATATTTAACACCACCACATATTTTATTTTTTATTTGAATCATTTGATCATTGTTTTCGATATTAATGGAAGATAATTGAACTGGTTTATCAACAATAGAAGATGGCTGGACTGGTTCATTAATAATGGAAGTTAATTGAGCCGGCTCATTAATAATAGAAGATAACTGAACTGATTCATTAATAATAGAAGTTAATTGAGCTGGTTCATTAATAGAAGTTAATTGAACTGTTTCATTAATAGTAGAACAAGTAGAACTGGTATTGGTACCAGTGTCTGTAACAGAGCAAACATCGCTCACACCTGTTGACGATTGTTCACGATGATGTTCAGTTGGAGAAGAAGAAAGTAATAATTGTTCATTTTCTGATTGTTAATTTAATTGGTATGGACTTTCAACTGTTTTTGATCTTGAACGATGACCGTTGTCGTTGTTAATAATACTTTCTTTCAGTTTCACAAGTTGTTTTTTATATTTTTCTTCTGTATTAATACTACTGTGTTGACGTTCACAATGACGTTTAAAATTCTTCACTAATATTTGTCGAAAACATAATGGGCATTTGCCTGTTAAGTCACTAGACATTGCAGTGCAATTTTATCCCAGAGTTAATGTTCGTCAATTCGGTATAAGACAATTTCTCTTGGTAATGATAGCGTAATGACACACATAGTACAATGCGACTAGATATATATATATATCTGTCTCGCCTATTCAACACAAAGAACATGTTCCTTCTGTTCCACAAAAATGTATGTTTTTGTTATTTCACCGCCCAATCAATAAAGAAGAATGACTATGATAAATGAAGGTGAGCACTGACTGATATCGCGACATTCTCTTTGAATTTATTTATACGATTTATTGTACGATACAGTCGATACAGATACACAGATTATTTAAAAAAGAGGAACTGTAAAAGAATGTTCACTATAACAACGCGTCCAGTATATGACGTTGCTTACTATGGGAAGTTATACTGTATACTAACCAGAAGCAGAAACCTAGCCAGTTGTAGCGCTCCTGTCTTATAATTACGACAACAATGAAGTATCGTTTAGACTCTTTAAATTATAGAATGTTCTTGAGGAATATTCTTTTTTGCATTAGCAATCAGATTGTTTCGCGTTGTTGTAGACACGAGAAAGGAACATTTGTACACTTATCGTTAACATCCACGTATCACATATTGCTGTTGATGACAGATGCATCTAGTTGTAATACTAATTTCTCGCTTAAACACGAACTTAGATTATTGATGTAGTTCAAAAAATCTAAAGAATCGAAAAAAAATAGTAGAATAGATTTCTTCAAACTTAGAGTTTTGCCAAATTTAGGGTAAATTGTCTACTGTATTTCTCCAAAATCGGAGAAAACTGTTTATTATTGTTTACCAAAATCGGAGAA